GAGAGAGAGGAGCAGGAGGGGGGCTAGGAGCAGAGCACACGTGGCAGAATCAGACGGACAGATCGGGCGGGTACACCCTAACGGGCGGCGGATCGGGAAGGCGGGCCCAGGTGGCCAGGTCGAGCAGGCGCGTGCGTCAAGCATGGATCGCGAGGAAGTCTCGAGCGACAGTGCGATTCCCAAATAAATCTTCACGAAATCCACAGGGGGAGCGTGGTTCCTGAGTGTCGAGGGTGCGGCGTCGGAATAAAATGCAAGGATGTCCTATGCGAGAGCGCGATTGTTGCATAAATCGTGAGGAAATCCGATGCGAGAGAAAGTTGCTTGAATACTCTGTGAAGAAATACCACGCGGGAGCGATGTTGTTGCTGTAAACGGGGGGCCGGGGGCCCAGTTTGGTGACACCTCATTCCCTTGTAAAAAAAAACTGGTGTGAGCCCCGGGAGAACTTTGAATTGAAACAGTACAACAATTACAGGGCAGGGGGGAGCAGCAATACTTATTCTTCGGAAATGATAACTCAAAACAACAGCAATCTTGTTAAGACTGCTCGCTCCTATCTGCTCACGTGCCAATCAATAAGTATATCCCAAACCCTCGGTACCCGCCCTCGTCGTCTTCGATCGTACCCCCTTGGGGGTAGATCTTTCTTTCCTGCCACGTGCATTTAGTGCAGCCCCCGAATCAGGGGAAGAGAGGAGGGGTTGAATGGGGAGGGGGAAGAATGGAGCACGAGAGAAATTAGCAGGAGGGGGGCAAAACGCAGAAAACACGTGGTAGAATTTATAGCGGGCAGGTCGGGAAGGCGGGCCCAGGCTACCAGGTCGAGCAGGCGGGTTGCTGAAACGTGGTCCTGCATGAATCGCGAGGAAGTCTCGAGCGATAGCGCGATTCCCAAGCAAATCGCGAGAAAGGCGAAAGCGAGAGCGCGACTCCTGAGCACCCTCGAAGTGCCACGCGAGAGCGCGATTCTGACAAAACTTGTGAGGAAGACCCGCGCGAGAGCGCGATTCCTCAATACATTGCGAGGAAGTATCAGGCGGGAGCCGCTGTTATTGTAAACCAGGGACCAACAACACAATTCTGAGACTCCAGACTTTCCCTGACATGAAAAAAGGGTACGAGCCCAGTGAAGAGTACTTCAATTGAAGAAACACATGTGCCCCAGAGGGGGGATCAACAATAATTATTCGTTCGGAATGAGAATTCAATGATTGTAAGACTGGTCGCTCCTATCTGCTCGCGTGCGATTCAACACGTACATCCCAAACCCTCGATACCCGCCCTCCTCCGTCTTGGATCGTACCCCCCTGGGTGGTACATCATTCCTACCTGCCGCGTGTAGTTGGCGCAGCCGTAAAAACAGGGAAGGGAGGGAGGAGGGAAAAGACAAGGGGGAGGGCAAAGGATGGAGCACGAGAGAGAGTAGCAGGAGGAAGGTTGGGAGCAGGAGTACAAGCGGCAGAACCAAACGGGCGGGTCGGGCGGGCGGACCCTAACGGGCAGGTCGGGCGGGCGGGCCCAGACGGCCGGGTCGAGCAGGCGGGTCGCTGACGCATCAATCAAACATGAATCGCAATGAAGTTTCGAGAGATACCGCGATTCCAAACTAAATCGTGAGGAAATCCCGAGCGAGAGCAGGATTCCTTAATCTTGGGCGCACGGCGCCGAAATGAATTATGAGGAAATACCATACGAGAGCGCGATTCCTGCATAAAACCTGACGAAACCTCGCGCGAGAGCACGATTTGAAATAAGCTGTGAGGAAATATCAGGCGAGAGCCTGTGTTGTTGTAAACCGGGGGCCATCAACAGATTTTAGGACCAAGACTTACTCTGATAAAAAAGTGAGCCCCGGGAGGAGCACTTCAATCGAAAAATAAAATGTGCACCAGGCAGGGGGGATCAACAATAGTTATTCTTTAGAAATGAGGATCCATTCGTTTCAACACTGTTCGTCCTTTTCTACTTGAGCGTCAGTCAACATGTTTATCACAAACCATCGATGCCCGCCCTCGTCGTCTTCGATCGTGCCCCCTTTGGTGGAATGTTTTCACCACCTGCCACGTGTAGTTGACGCGGCCCCTCAAACAGGGCAAACGAGGAGGGAAGGGACAAGGGGGAGAGAGAAGGATGGATTGGCGGCGCGCCAGAGAGGGCAGGGGAAGGGGGGAAGATTCTTAGCAGGAGGCTGCTTCTTGGAAAGCGCCGCCGTGACATCTCTAGATGAGGCCCGCTGCCGTCCAAGAAGCGAGGGTACTTCCAAGAAGCCTTCTCCCTCCTCCTCCTCCTCCTCCTCCTCCTCCTCCTCCTCCTCCTCCTCCTTATCGCCCTCTGCGCACGGCCGAGTGGAGCACGACAGTGATTAGCGGGAAGGGGGTTGGGTTAGGTCGGGCATGTCCTGTAGAGGGACAGGCCCGCCTTAACCCCAGTCCCTACAGTCAGTCCGTATCAGAAGGATGCGCGGTAAGATGACAGGTGACTTGGGGGCCCACGTGAACGTTTTTTTCGAACGAGGTTGGCAAGCAAAAGTCGCCAAGTTTGGGGTTAAGCGTCAAGGATGCAAGGGTACCCTCGCCTCACTGTGCGGGTTGACTGTACTGCCCCCTATCGCCGCCTAATCCCACCAGCCCTTTAGGGCGTCGGTGGTTTAACGAGTTTCCTCTTCCACCCCTCCTTCTTCCCCTTCGGGGAGGGGTTTACCCCTCCCCCTACCCCCTCCCCACTGACCTGGACAGGGGGGGCCGCGATCGGTCAGAGCGTCCAAGATCGACCCCTGGGAGGGCTAAAATTCGACACCCCTCACGAGGATCGTGGCTCCTGAGGGGGGGGCTGAAATTTAGGAACCCCCCTTCGTTGATCGATCTCCTCCAAGATGGCTCCGAGAGACGTCTTGGACCCCCTCTTGGGCCCTGCGCGCGGGCGGGCGGAGCGCCGCCCGCCCGCCCGCAAGGCCCAAGAGCCCACCAAAACGTTCGAAGATACTTCCAAGACGCCACCAGGGAAGAGGAAGATGAGGAGGAAGAGGAGGAGGAGGAGCAGGAGGTGAGGGAGGAGGAGGAGAAGAGGAGGAGGAGAAGGCGGAGGAGGAGGAAGAGGGGGAGGAGAACAGCTGCCGATCATCGGCGCTCTTCGTTCGAGCGCCTGGTGTAGGATGGGCTGGTGGGGATACGCGAAGCGTCAAGAATTTCTTCGGGCCATACGTCGGTCCCTCTGGCGGCCCTTCGGGACGGATCCTAGCACCCCCCGAAAGGCCGATCCTGGCACCCCCCGAAAAGCCCTCGCGAGGCACAGCTCGCGGAGAGCACTCCGAGGCCAGAAGAACTCCAAAAACCGACGGAACCTTCCTCCAAAGAGCCACGAATACGGACGTCCTACTCAGATATCCGGCGTCGTGATTTTCTCGTAACGAGAACTCCCTGAGGTCTAGCCCTCTTCCCTACTCGCTCTTTCAGCCTGGGCAGTTTTCCGACGGCCCCTGGGGCCCGGTGAGGGCCCCAGGAAACCGAAAACTGCCAAAAAACCCGTTGCCATTCCTTCGCAGCGGAAGGACCCCGAGATCCGACGGCGCGGAAAACATCCGGCAACGAGTCACGGCTGGCGCCCTGGACACCATCCTTCTGCACACTGTTTCGAGGCGGATCGATGTGCGAGGGCCCCGGGGCCCGAGACCTGGCGAAAACGCCCGGCTCAAAGAAGGAGGCGCCGGGATCTCAGGGCAGTCTCCCCTCTTGGACCAGGTGGCCACATCCGAGCCCTACCCCCACCGACTATCGATTCCCCTGAATCTATGGAAGGCGGGGCCACGGTTCGGAGTTCGCCATGTGTTCGACGAGTTCCGAACCCGACCACGCCGCCCACCGAGTTGCCTGACTCGCTGATTGGCGAGGGTAGGGTTCGGATTTCGCCGCTGATTGTTGAACGCCTCCGGTTGGACGCCGCCGACTGGCAAAGGGGGACACATCGATCTTGAATCGGCGATACGTCGCCAATAGATCGGCGATAGGCCCCCGATAGTGAATCCGCACGTTCCTGGGCAGGCTAGTGCTATCGGGTCCCCATCGGCGATCAATGGACGAGTGGGGGTCGATGCATCCCCTCCAATGCCCATCCAACCCAATGTTGCCTCCGAGTGCAATCAAAACTGATAGTAAGGATGCACGGTCAGGATGCAAGCCCCTTGGACGCGCACGTCGAAGCTCTGCGAGAGTGGCTCGCTGTCGAAAAGGGTCAAGGGCGTATCGACGAGGCAATGATGCCAGGGTACCCTTGGAAAGGTTGCCCATCCTTAAATAGAAGAAGAAAGAAAACATCATAAAGATAAACTGTTGGCGCTCCGCGCGGATTCCTTGGATCTGCGCTGGACCCCCTCCCCGGCGCGCGGAGCGCGCCAGGGACGGCGTCAGAGGCGCCGCCGGAGGGGCCCAGCGCGGATCCAAAAAATCCGCGCGGAGCGCCAAAAAGTTTATGTTTATGGCGTTTCTTCTTCGCCGAGGGGTACCCTTGGAAAGGTTATCCATCCTTATGCACGTGTCGACTGTAGTCCTCACCACCCTCGTGGACGCCGCCGAGCTGGGCAGAGCTAGGTCGGGCATGTCCTCCCACAGGCACATTTTGGAAGACGAATGAATAGTTGGTCAAAGAAAACTCAAAAGCAAAGTCGAAGAATAATACAAAACAAATCGTCAACTGGCTACTTTTTGACTATCCTTAGGTCGGGCGTGTCCCCCTACAGGGAGATGTTGGACGATTTGGTGTTCAAAAAACAAAAAACTATAATCAAAAGATGCCCAAAAATATTCAAAACATCGACACGTGATTATTTGTTTGACTATGTCTGAATATTCATCCTGTAGAGGGACAGGCCCGACTTCAGTTAGTCTAGAATTCTCAAACAAAAATCCTCGAATAATCGAAAAATAGTCCCCAGGCTGCTTTTTGACTATCCTCGAAGTTCCTCCCCCCTGTGGCCGAGCCCGCGGCGGCCCCGCGCGCCCCTC